AGCTTTGTATAGTGAATATCAACATTGCTATACGCAAAGGCACGACTGTGTGAATAAAAAAAAACATGATTGCATATAACCGTTCCTGTTTTTTTTCCTTTTGAAATTATTATGAAAGAGAAGAAAAAAAATGAGAATGTGTAGTGACGCATACTGCTTTTTTTAATATCACTATATAACAAATAAAACATTTGGTGCACATTTGATGCGATAGGTTGACATTAAACTTGACAGAATAATTTCAAACATATTAACAAGAAGGGAATTGATAACTAATGAAATCGACCCTCATGAGAAATTTGATTTTTTCTATAAGAAACTTTCATATAAGATGTCTGAAAGAGATTTTTGGTGAAATTAACTCTATAAACACTTGTTTGTGTTGTGCCTAGACTGGTTGAAATAATCAATGACTAACTGTCACATGTACATTGAATCTAACTATTGATGATAAAGAATAGCTTAAAAATATGGAGGAAAAAAACAATGAACTGTAAGAAAAATTCGACGGTACTAATTTTAGATATGATTGTAGGCATTGTTGACTAGTATTTAGTAGAATTCAATCAGAGAATATGTGAATGAAGTACAACTAATATGATATTCTGAGTCATCATGTAAAACTAAGTCGATCTATGTTAGTTTCAAATATTTTTATGAACTTTTGTTTTTTTTTCGCCAATAAATTAAATTATTTAATTAAACGAACATGCACTTGATCAAAAAGGGTACGTTTAGATATTTTTTTTTTGAATTAAGATTTTATTTGTACAGGGTGGTAAATAATATTATTCCAGGGGGGTAACAGTATGATCTCGAATCGGAGATATCATGAATTTTATACCAAATGAAAGCCCGTGAAAAATGGGGTTTAGTGATAGTAAATAGTAAGACTTTGAAGAACTTTCGTGTACCAAATTTTTAAAAACAACGAAATTTTCTTTCAAAAACACGTTAAAAATCATTTTTCATACATTTTGAGACATTGAAAACGAACATTTTTTATGAAAACGAAAGAGAAATGATAACGATGATGATATATGACTATGACTCACACAATAAGATGGTTCTTTGGCGTTCTGTTCTTCTCTCCACGTGATACTAGTTATTTGAAAAATTTTTTCGTTCTCGGACTGTCTGAAAGTTATAGTCGAGTGAAATCTCAGTGTTTTTTCGTTTGTTATTTCAAATGGCTGGCGCTTATGATACCGAACAACAAAGAATGATTGATAGAATTAAATGCATTACTTTCCGAGAAGCTCGTGATGCTGGTGCAACATTTATAAATAGACAATGGATTGCCGACAAAATTCACCGTACGACTCGATTTGTTACAGAATGGTGGGAAAAATCGTGTGACCAATGTTTTGCTGATTATTCGAATGCTGGTCCTAAACTCAAGTTATCGAGAGCTGCTCAGGACATTATTCGTGAAGCAAGTGGTCACCAACGGAAAAGCGGTTCTGTCGTGGCGAAAGAGATTGCAAAGAAACAAAAAGAATATGTTACTCGACAAACAGTTAATAACTACCGTCGTAGGGAAGGATTAAAGCCTTTTCATGTTATTTCAAGACCGTTAAAATCTGAAACTCATATATCAGATCGATTATGGCTCTGTGATTGGTTGAAAGATTGGACTGAAGAAGATTTTCTTCATCTGGCACCATCAGATGAATTTTATGTTTGGACAGTTCGCAAACCAAATTATCAAAATGATAGGATTTGGGCAAAAAGTGTTGAAGATATTGAAGACGATGAAAGGTATCGCGAAATGGTTAAAAACCAAGCGTGTATCGGTATTTTTATCATTTTCACCGCGAAAAAAATGCATTGGGTGATTAAAGACAAAGGTGAATCTTGGACCGGTCAATATTTTCGTGACATTATTTTAATGCAACACGTATTTCCATTCCTCACCGACGAGGAAAACGTAATTGATCTGGATAATGTGATATTTGTTCACGATAAAGCACCGTGTATGCGAGCAAACATGACTCAACATCTGATTAGAGATAACAAAATCGAGTTTTGGGGCAATGATATTTGGCCTGGTAATTCGCCCGATCTCAATGCGGCGGAACATATTGGATCAATAATGAAAGATGAAGTTGAACAAAAAATGTTATCGGAAACTGGACATAATCGATATAGTGAAGACACACTTAAAAAGCACATTGCGGATGTTTTGACGGACATGGAAGAAAATACCGAATTGTTTGAAGCTCTTTTATGTTCGTATCCATCTCGACTTCGTGCAGTAAAGAGTGCTAATGGTCGTCATACTGATTATTGATTGTACTCAATAAATAATAAGAAAATAAACAGTTGTACAACATATAGTTTAGCCCCGAACTTTTTCGATGAACTGATTTTATAATATTTTATGTCGATAAAAATCGTAACGTTTGATAAATTAATACAAGAAAGTTCTTCAAAGTCTTACTATTTACTATCACTAAACCCCATTTTTCACGAGCTTTCATTTGGTATAAAATTCATGATATCTTCGATTCGAGATCATAGTGTTACCCCCCTGGAATAATATTATTTACCACCCTGTATCATATAAATGTCACATCTTGGCACAATGATACCATTTAAATTTTCTGCATTACAATCAAAAGTCTGAACAAAAATATATATTATCGAATTTGATTAATAGAAAAAAAAAGAGTTTTCTACTTGAAAACTTTTCTTTGATTCAAAGGTAAAAAGAACGTATTCGATTTCTTACAATTCAAGGTATTAGAAAAGAAATTTCATTTAGTTCAAAATAAAAATCTTTTTAGTTACCAGTAGCCATCAAAGTACGATTAAGCTTAGGATCTTTATCAATTTGAATTGATTGTTACATATCAATATTACTAAATTATCGGTAACTATCAAAGATTTATTATTAATTTGCATTACTAATATATACGAAATACTTTCGATTATATAAAAATTGAATAATACTAGCTTGAAGTAATGCAAGAATGATTTGTTTGAAAAATGTCTCTTCATCACTAATTATATCTTATTCAAATGTATTTTAAAATATTTTAATTTAGTAAAAATAAAAAACCATAATTTTTGTGTAACAAATACGATTAATTTACTTTGTAACTAAGTTTATTAGAATGACCAAGAAGTATTTTAATAGGAGTAGTTTCATCAATTTTTGTTCCATTTAATATTTGTCATAATTCAAAGTAATCATATTCAATAGAAGATAATAAAAGTACTGTTAAGATTGTTTTTGACTTTCTATTTATTTCAATTTCAATAAGTAAATGTATCGAAATACTATTAAATACGTACTTAGCTTTTCATCTTGTAATAAGTATTCACCGTAGATTTCCTTTCAGCTACTTAAATCTCTCATTGATGAGTCAATCTCAATAATTTCTTTGGAATACATTCTTGAATATTATTTGAGAAGAGCACATAAAAAAATGATGGTTTTTGAATGTTGGGAGTCGTTAATTCTTGGCTGGAAAATGATAAACACTTGAAAGGAAAAATTAAATGATCAGTTTCTATTAGTGGATTTTCCTAGTTTCGGGCAGAGTAGGCCACCAGATTCTTACTTCCAAGTCCCTACTATTCTCTAGTCGTACTCCACTCCATTAGATGGTCAACTTAGTTTTCTATACTGATTCGAGAATGTGTTGTACATATTGAACAGCGCATAAAGAATGAATTATTTACTCTGTAGAAAAGAAAAATCTTCTAAGAACCTCTCCTTCATCACCGATAGCCACCAACCGCATATGAATAACATTTCGTTCTAATATGTGAATTGCTTTCTTATAACATTTCTCGGGAATAAGTTAAAAGGATGATGAAGGCATCTGTCCTAAAATAGAAGGAATAAAATAAGTTATCTGTGATTTGTTAAATTTTCCATCAACTCGTATTGCCGTTTTCTTCTCCACGTATGGTTTGATAGGACTCTTGGAATGATGGCTAGCTAATCAAACTCTATAAAATTGAGAATTAAAACGATTCTGTTCGTCGTACCTAATTGAGTCTAGTCTTGAAAATCGAGAATACTGATATTTTAATGTGATACGTTAGACAATGTGTATTTATTCCTGAATAAGAGACTGAAAACATCTTCTCTTTTTTAGCAATATCTTTTATAAGCACTCTTATTTATATCGAGCAGCAGCAGCGTTTCAAAAATGAGTTTCACGGAAGCCTCAGACATCCTATGTTATTATTTTTGACACATGTTGATTCAGCTTCATTTCACTTACGTATACACACTTCGCTGTTTTCGTTTGTAAGTCGGAGAAAAACTTCACTGATGTGCAACATTCTTTGATTGTGCATCAGGCTCGTCTGTGTCAATAAAACCAGCTACTCAAGTGTCCTTTGTACAAACAGACCTTTTCTGAGTAAGATGAATACAGAAAAGTATGCGCAATAGGTAACTTCAGTTTTGGTCTTCAAAACATGATTTGCGACATATGAAAAAATACATGTTATCTTCGTCATAAGATAATAAGTAAATCTAGTGTTTTTATATAAAATCTTTGGTTTGGAAAAAGTAGAGATATATGTTTCTGCATTACTTCACATTGTATTTGACGTACACTTCTTGTCCAATGAATTTTCAATAGAAAATAGTAATAATGTAAGCACACAAGTGTTTTTCATACTTGCGAAACCAGTGTTTTTGTAACTTAAGTTAGCTCTACGTCAGTTTCTTCCGCAATGAATCTTCCTCATGGAAACACCAAGCATGTTTCCAATGCCTTGTTAATAGAAAATCATTCTTTTTTCACTCGAATACGGTTTGTTGACATAAACTTGTGAAAAAAATACTTTCAATTTTTATTCGATTAGAAATACACTTTTTCATACTAAATAAGAAAAAGAAAAAAAATATAATGGAAGAAGGTAAACATTACTTTGACTCATATTTCTATGGTGTGATTTTTGAATCGTTGTTTTTTCATATAAATATGATTTACATTAATTAAACATGAAACAACAACAATAAGAATAGTAACATGTTTAGGGATATATTTCGATTAGCAAAGATTGCTCATCATAGTTGTAATCAACAAAAGCGCTGTTTCTTAAAAATTGTTAGCCAAGGTAAGTTATTTTTGCAATACTAAAATAAGATATCTAAGAAGTTGTATATCATTTATTTTAGTTCATCTAAAACCAGGTCTATGCTCATCAATACCCATAATACATGATGTTCAAAAAGTTGACATGCGTGAAGCTGGTACGACAGTTGAAAGAATAGATGCATTCGCTAAAGATAATGTTACCCGTTCAGTTGTCAGCTGTTTTATTTTGTTAAGTTAAAAGTGTCTATAAAACTTGTTGTGATGTTAGTAATTATCGTTCAGCCATACATTCTGTTGGAACATCATCACTTCGTTCTATTGTCAGACAATTTGAGTATGATCAGATTATTGATGATCGAAATCGACTAAATAAAGAATGGTTATTAGTCATTGGTGATTCTATTGAACATTGTGGCATACAAACCACAAAAGCTGAAATACAATCATTTGGACTGTTAGATGCATCTGTGACGAGAACATTAGAAAAACAAATAGATGCTGAACGTGATCATCGACAACAAGAATTAAATACACAAAGAAGGAAAAATAATTGCAGCGAAGAATTTAGCTGATGCTGTTCTAGTCACAGCACAAAAACAAACTGAAGGACAAAAATATATGATTGAATAAGAAACATTAGCTCTTACACAACAATTAGAATCAATTACGAAACAATTAAATAATGATCATTATTTAGCTGTTCAGTATTTACTAGCCAGACGAAGATTCGATGAATTACAAGCTACAGCTAATGGAAGAAATAATTCAACATATTTTATTAATAATCAAACTAAACGTGTGCATAGCCTGAAAATCTTTTCAGATCTAGAGAAACGAGATCAATGAATATCGATTCAATTCATTAAAATTCTTTTCTGCTTTGTAATTTGAAAAATATGAGCAATAACAGACAAGGGAGTTTTTATTATATGTAAACCTGCATAATAATAGAAAATGAATAATATGTTCTCTCTTGCTTCCACGGTGATATATTTATTGAATTCGAAAATTTATCATAAAAAAAAATAAAAAATGATTATCTTTACAAAAAGAACGGACAGTCTAGTGCCAATTTCGAACTTAATACAATACGTTTACTTCTTGTCATATTGTTGACGTTCACAGTTTGATTTACTGGAATAGCCGATTCTGAAGCATCTAATTCTCTAAAGCAAATCATTAAAAAATAGAAATATCAGCAAATATGAAAAAAGTATGTACGTGTCTGATTGATCGAAGCTTTTTATATAGAGATTTGCACGAAAAGCTAATAAATCAGCATATTTTACAGGTGCTGGAATAGATATTGAACGAGTACAACGAGCACATGTGTAACATAGGGCATAAGTTAACATTTGTACTTGATCTGGTTTTAATTTATTATCGTCGTATAAAACATGATAATGTGTAGGACGACTTGTCCCCTAAAGTTAAAGGTAATATGATGAAAAAAAAAGATCATCAAATAAATTCAAACAATTTTATTTACTTTTTCTCCATGATGACTATTTAAAAAGAAGTCATATGTGGTAGCATTAGTAACATCATGTGAGTCAACAACTGTGCCAGCCTTAACATTACCATTTGAATCGGTTGGAAAAAATCTTGTATGGTGTTTCTTGTTCACTACAATATAAGTAAGATATGGTCGATAGATTGGTGATAACTCAACACAAGCTTCTCTTGTTGCCATAAGTTCTTTTTCGAAAACATTATCGAATTCACTATTTGCAATTCCATCACGATAGATAACAATTGCTTTTGGTGGATAACCATGATATTGTTCATATTGACTAATAAGAGATTTCATAATCTGTTTCATATCTACAACGTATTCCCGACTTTGTCTACGTGTTTCCGATAATCGTTCTTGCATGTAAATTTCTTTGAAATATCGATTAGGTATGTCATCGGCTGATGCAACAATAGCTACAGTTGAAAATTTTCTAGCTGAACCAGGCGCTCCATGACTAAGATCAATACCGACATACATATATCGATGACCACGTGAGAAGGATTCTCTGATAACATTACTTAAAATATTTTCATAAAATAAGTCAGTGATGAACAAAAAAAATGATAACTCACGGAACATGAAGAATAGAATTAATTCCATCTAGTTTAGTATTGATTTTCATCAGAATATGATTCAATCTTGAATAATTCCATGGATGTATACCTTCGTTTTTCTTCAGTTTTATCATTTGAGTAACGATGCCGAAGCCAGATTGTAATTCACACTAGAAAAATAACATAAATGTTCTAATTCTATTTATTTAATAATTGTCTTACTAGTGTTTTTAAATCACCATATATTTGATCTCTAATACTGTTATTCTCTGGTAAGATAACGATAAAAAATTTACAATCGTCATTCTTTTCCATCATTTCTTTCAATGCAGCAATCATCTGACTAATGGAATCAGGTTCAACATGGTATTTTTCATAGAGGACAGGTGCCGGACACTTTATACCTCGCTCGTTAGCAACATCCCTCAATTGGTTATAGAATGCTTTACATAACTCTTCATTCAATGATGATGATAGATTGATCAAAGCCCATACAGATGGAAAATTTGTTGGATGATGAAACTGAGTTTTTGTATTACTCCAAATACCCGGTGATTGAAGCATTTCATTATTTACATGAAATTTATCCGTATAAATAATTTGAGGCATAGGTAAAATACGCGCCGGTGTTTTAAGTATATTGACATCGACATGAAAATTCCATGCATTGATAAATGGATCCTGTTCAAAACATTGTTGTTCTGGGTTCTTACGAATTTCCATGACTGATTGATAATACTCTAAGGGCATCATGGATGATTTTAAACAAAGAAGTGCTCTTTGTTCATCGGTTATTTTTTTCACTTTAATAGGTTGCACATCAACGAATTCCATTGGTACAAACGATTTATTATGCATTCTCAATGTAGGCAATGTTGGATATCTGCTTAGCAAAAACAAATACAAATGCATCAACTGGAAGGATTTCAATTTACTAACTTTAATTCAATGCCATAATTTTCTTTATAGTAATGTTCGACTGTAACAATACTCTGATGATCGTTTCTCTTCCATAAAAATGTCTGTTTGGATGATGCCTCACCTAATCCATCGATTTTGTAGGCGTTCGTTTTCTTGACCACGTGCGAACGGACAGGTAGGTCTTATTTCATACAGACAACTTCACTCTTACACAGAAAGTAGAAGAACTTACATTTGCATTGATTGAGTAAAAATTCAATTTCACCATGATAATAATCACCATTTCTGTTGTGATCAAGAAACTTCACAATATCTTTCATTTCGGCTTTTTGATCCTGTTGCTTATTCTTATAATGTTTCTTCCCAAGTGGACTGTGAAGCATAACTTCACAGAGAAAATCAATGAATGATTGTTCTTTCATAAAAATAGTATGGCTCACTACAATAGATATATAAAATACAAATGTTATTTTTGGATAAATTCATTTCATTAACGCTTACCATCGAGATTCATCAGTAGTCGATTAGTACCATTGGTAAAGACAAGACATGAATAGAAACCACGCCATAAAGCTTTGCCTAAACCAAGATCCCAGTAACCATGCTTATTTTCTAATATGGGTTGTGCAAAAAATGATCGATTATAAATATAAGCAGCATTTGATGAACAATTTTCATGTAATACAATCGATAACATTTGTTGAAGTACTTTGATATCATTAACATTGATGTTAGAATCATTTTTCGTATTGTAAAATTCGTCAAGAGAACGTAACAAACTCAAATCAATCGGATTACCCACTCGTGTGATAGAAATTTGATATTCTTCTTGACGATTAAATCTATTCGGTGCCATTTTTGTCGTAGTGATTCCCTGAATGAAATATTTAAGAATATAACAATCTAATATGAAATCGAGAGAAAAAAAACTTCACTTACAGTTTCATCAATATTTGGCAATGATTGATCTATTGTAAAGATTATGTGATGATTATCGAAAACAATTTTATGTTTATTTATTTGCGGATATGTCCGACAATATTCATGTAACCAACATTCATACAACGCTCTAGTAGAGAATGATTATTATAAAAATGAAACATACGCATATACATGTTTACCGTCGATGATAACGGTGAACTATTGAAGAATATTTATTTTTTATTTGAATATCATATTGATAAACAAGACCACTTTGAGGAAATTTAACAATTGGAAAGTAGTTTATCTGAACTGTTATATGGTCGCCAATTTTTCCCAACTCATTTGGCTTTGATGACCGAGTATTTGACTTGAACTGATCAATAGTTAAATCTGATACCATCCATTGAGAATCCGAAACTAAAGTTCTTTGTTTCAGAGAAATACCATGATCTCGATCACTGCTCATTGGAGCTACTGAATCAGCAGTTGATAAACAAGAAACTGCTTGAGTTTGTGATGTACCACGTCCTTGACCTTTTAGCTGCCTTGATATCGATATAAATATAGCATAAAAATTAAAAATTCATAGCAATACCAATCTATATATTGCATCATGAAAGTTATGTTACTGGGTTTTTTCCCAGAGTTCTTTTGTTTTAATGTTCTGTTTCAATGTGTCATTCAAGTGACAAAACATAAAGCAACAACAAAATGATTCATGCCTTTTTAAATACTCATTATGATAACAGAAAACATGGAAAGAATTATCAATATTACATAATGAAATAAGCCATGTGTAAAAAATCTTTGCACAACATGTCTGGTCGATTGTAATCCTCTTACAGGTCACTAAAGAAGTTTAAATTTTCTTTTCTAGCTTTAACTTATCTCATCGAGTAAAAATAATTGATTGTAGGTAAAAAAAAAATGATGTTTTCACAAATTGCTAAATAAAAAAGGTGGTAGTAACCATCTTTGTTCACTTGTCGGATATCTCGATACAGTTAAAAAGAATTAAATGCAGTCAGTTAAAACGATAGTTTGATGCATCTTTCTAAATGAATGTTCAGATTTGTTACTCTGACTTCGGACTAGTTTACAGTGAATATTTATTTAAAATAAATTAAAATAATAGTACTTCTAATAAGTTTATTTGTTTCCTGTCATGCATACCTTCTCTAGATGAGAATTTAATTTTCTATGAAATCATTGATTACAGTGAACAAGAAACCAATAGCCATAAACATTTTTCAAATGAATCGTTGGCTTTCCAAATTTTGATATTAAGACGCAAGTGATTTCGATCATTTACGGAAACAAGTAAAAAGAAAAGATATTGGAGCAATCTACGCTCTACAAAACTGCTGCATACAAAAAATTTCTATACATAGATTTTTCTGAATGAATAAAACAATTGATACTATAATAAACATTTGAAAGCCTTCTAATATTTAGAGTAAATATTTATAGATCTAATGATTTTTTTTTATTTGATTGTTTTATGAACATTTTTTTTAATTAGGACATTCTGTAACTAATTCGACTTTTATTTAGATCTTTGTTTAGCATATCTATTGAATTACAATAGTAGCAAAATGCTTAATCTTGCACAAAAACTTAAAAACGACAATAATATCGTATGTAAATATAACATTCAAACATAATATAAGCTGATCTTCTATAACTTGTTTTCATAGATCAATGGATTAAAGAGGCCAATGAACCGGTATTTGAAGTTAAAATATCTGCTTGACAATCACCAAAATAACTAGCTTGATTATGTGATAAAACGCAAATGCCATAATAGTGAACACAAGCTGCAGCCACAACAAATACATGAAAAAGTTGATGACTTTGAAACTAAATGAAATCAAAAAAAAAAAGCTTTTAATAAAAAATAAAGAAAATTTTGATCATACCCAAATATCAAAAAGACCTGGAGCTAATCGTTCAGGTATTCGAGCTATTAAAATCATAGCAAAGAGTCACATAAAAATAGAATCAATGAACCATATGAATACTTACCAGCATAAAGACCTGCACCAATAACATAAAGTGTAGCTACTAAGAGTAAATATTGAGTAGCACCAGCTAAAAGAAACAAAAAATAAATTCATTTGATCGAAGTTCTCAAGACAATTACAGATCTTCTTGAAATTATTAAAAAAGACAACGTAGTTGCTGTTGCTAATCATGACAAGATAGTTTTATCATATCTATTTTGGCGTAGATTTTCTTTAAATGTTTGTCATGATTTTTGGGGTCCAAAGTTTTACTTCCACAGTCATTTTAGATCGCATTTTACAAAACTATGTATCGTTAATTTTCAAATTCTTCCAAAACTTAGTGAACATTAACCATGAAACTTCAGTATTGTGATGCTATGGTCATTGAGATCTATCGATCTAACCGTAAGACCATCCTTACGTTTAAAATTTATGAAAATGGTTTCCAATTTTAAAAAAGTTCGTTCAGAATTCATGATAAGTTTCTCAAGTTCTGTAGAAAAATGCCAATATCAAAATACAAAAGTGAAATTGCAGTTTTGGCCTCATCACTTTTATCCAATGTGTACTTCGAAGCTTTTCAGAAAGTTTGAAAAAAATTCCACGCACTGTATCGAAAATCAATTTACGAGGAAGAATAACTTTAACATTGCAATACAGTCAGAATTTCTCTCAAATGACATGTTACTTATAGCTTAATTTTCAAGCAATAAAAATGTTAGTTATACAACGCTTCATCATACCTGTAAAAGCATGTTTGAAACCATGCCGAAATATATAATGACAAGTTGGAATAAAACCAAAAATTCCAAATGTAATAAATAGTACTATAAAAGAAAAAAAAAACTATGTGAAAAATCTGTTATTTTTTCTTAAAAGAAAAATACTTACAAACACGATAAACTCGATAATCTGATGAATCAAATTTATCCCACATAGAAATAATTATACATGTTATACCCAATAAACCAATTAATGATAAATAAGCAATTTTTGTTCCAAATTCACAATAAAATTGATAATAAAGTAATGGAACAACTGAACCAATAATTAATATTGCTATTCCACAATAATCAAGTCTAAAATATCACTAACACATTATAAAAAGAAAACACGAAAATTATTTTTTTATATCTACTTGCAAAAAAACTTGGAAAATTTTGGTGAATGACAATAAAATGTATGATATAATGTTGAACAAAGTAAACATACAATAGCTCCAAGAAAAAATGCACCAAATATTAATTTTTTTTCTATATGTACTTCAGTAGCCGGTTGTGTAAGAAAATATATTGCAATTCCAATAAAAACAAAAGTACCTAATAGATGTGTCCATATATTAACTGTTTCTGTATGTAAACGAAATATTGATGCAAAACATTGTTTAACACTTGGCATTGGTGGACGATGTCCAGATAATAAAAATTCATTATCAATAAGCCAATATGGAAGATGACTATGATCGACAACATAATCAACAACAAATTTACCAACTTCTTTTGCTTGTTCAACACATCTTGTTGGAACTTCAAAAACTGAATCAATTAAATCATGTGTATGATCATGCAAATCATTCGATGATTTTTCAGAGATATCATTAAGTGATGTACTCTAAATAAAACATTGTTTGAAATAAGAAATACTGACTTATTTTGCTAAGAACTATAATCAAAACAAATTTCAGAGCATTTTCTCTTATGTATTACTTCATGTTTAGATAAGAGATACGCAGAATAAGTTTTTTTAAGCCCGATCCTAACCTACTAAAAATAGTTCCAGAATTTATTCTTATTATATCTGGAAAACTTTTTAAATACTCACTTGTTTTGTTTTACTTAGGTGTCGACTAGCATTTTTTTTGGGGCGTCATATCACTTGAATTATGTTCTGATTCATGGCTTATAAGATAACATGCTTGAAACCATAGAATATTTAATATTATTATCTTTCATTCCAGTTAGGACAAATATTTTCTCGTAGTGCCGGCCTTAATAATCTTCCAAATTT